TTCATGATAACTGGTTGGAGGTATCAAGAGGAGCTCACTTGTCAAATGTGTTAATACACGAAAAGAAACTTTCCAAACTACTAATTTTCTTCTTTATGAAATATTTTCATTAGAGGGACATCAAATTTTCATTCATTAGAAAATCTAAGTTTTGTGGGGACTACTTAAGGTAGAATTAGAGAAGTGTGAACTATTTTCTATATTGATTTGTGTCTCTGAGGCACTATAAACTATTAAAGTCTGAATAAAACATTTCATCTATGCCTTTACATATGCGCACATAAACACCAAGTTATTGTTAACAAGTTGATTAAATAATAATTAATTTATTAATTTAATTAGAGTTATATAATTAATTATTTTACTTTTTATTTAAAACCACTCTAGATGAGATATAAACATTATTTGTAGCTAATAAGCACTAAAAAAATTAATGTTTAATTATAATCTTATACTATTAAAAATCTAATGTTTAATATAAATTTGTACTATTATAATCTAATTGGAGTTGCATTATTACATAAATAATAATTCCTACAATATATTAAAATATCATACACTTGATAATCTAATACTATTATGATAATTGATTTAATTATTATATTAGATTTAATTTATTTAATAATCTAAAGAATAGTTATACTATAGTATAAACCTTTAATTAATGTGACTTCATAAGATTTAATTAATGTGATTTAATAAGATTGGGAGTTATGATAAGTGATTAAATTGGTTAATTTCATGAAAGATGAAGGATAATTTTGGGAAATAAAAGCTTTTTTAGTACTTCCTCTTTTAAAGGGAGAATGATTTATTTGCTACAAAATCAGCTCAATATCTATAATATTTTAGGGGGGTTTTAGGAACCACCTTATATATAAAGTATAGGAAAATTACATTTCGATTTCAATTTATACATAAATTTTTTATTTGGAATGTACATAAAACATATTTAAAGTGTTTTTTATTAGAAATAAACCACATTCCAATAAAAAAATTCACTAAAAATAAAAAATACCCTTAAATAATTCATATTTAAGGCACGATGCTCATTTTTTAGTGTTTAGATCATACTAGGATACAATTCACTTTTGTGCATCTTGAAATTTTAAGCTCGTTTTGGTTTTTAATGAAAAATTGATCGGATGCGGTTGATTACAATAGAAAAATTCACTTTAGAAATGGTTCATTTATAAATTAAAATCAATAGGTAATTTTTGTATAATTAATTTGGGGAAAATACTTCCAGCACCCAAACCCAAGAAAACATGCTTTCCCCCTGTTATGGTGATTTACCATCTAGAGATAAGAACGTCGAAAGATTGACTGTAAAGGCCCAAAAAGCCATGGTCCTGACCGACTCAAGAAACTCAGAAGCCCGGCCGAGGTCAAGTCTATTGACCAGTCAAGCAGGCGAGCCCTCTCTCGACCAAGAGTCGTCATAACCGACTCGAAGCGCGGGACCAGTCGGTCCCCCACAATTAAGATGACTCCCCGAGCAGACGTCCTGATGGCGCTCTCGTCCCAAAACTCACTCGGTTGTCGGTCGACAAATCATAGTAATGACTCACGGATCAACACTGCATCGACTAAAGGGATAAGATCCGACCAATATCACTTCAAATGTCACTCGACGCTACAGCGTTGACCAGTCCCATCAAGATATACGCTCTGACAAGGATCTCCTGCACAAGCCGCCTATTCTACTCACAAGTCATTTCCCAGAAAAATACCATGATGCTTCTCTATATACGAATGACTTCTCCTCCAATTCCCGACCGCCACCTGGAGAGAAGGACGGCCACACAGCCAACCTATCCTACACACTGCCTACTCTGACAAACCCAGAGCACTGAGAAGACCTTTCTCCCCTGACACTGAATGACTTCCCTCCCAGTTGCCTGTCGACACCTGGAGGAAGAAAGATGACTCAGCAGCCTACCTGTTTACCTTTCAAACCGCCTCCTGTGCATAGTCAACGAAAGCCGAGGGTCAAACTCTTAGAGGCAAGGGGGCTATAAAAGAAGGTAAGGAAGGTAAGGGAGAAAGGGCTCTCTGCTTCTTCTTGCTCCTTAATGTTACTCCCCTTCGGATCTTTTTCATCCAGAATATTTCAATAATTTTAGAGGAAAAACCCCCTGCAAGGACCTTAATGGCCCATGGGCCTCTCAACAAATCCTCCCCAAGTTCATCAACTGACTTGACCGTCGGAGGTACCACGAGGGAAACTAGCCCCGTATTCCTGCAATTCTTGTATGTGCAGGCTATCAGTCCACCCTGCACGCTCAGAATCGGGCATAAAGTTGGAGGAGGAGTCGGCCCCAATATTCATCCTCTCATTCTTCCCCACCGTCACTAGGATCGAAACTGCATCCGATTGCGGGAAACCCCCATCGACTGTTTGTTCACGAGCATCAACACCCCCCAAGACTTTGTCAATGAGTGCTTTCCCCCAAAAAATAAAGATTTTATTCTCTGAGCCCCCAAAACACAAAACCCAAAAGATTAAAATATGTGAAGATCATAATACCCTTCTCTCTCTCTCTCTCTCTCTCTCTCTCTCTCTCTCTTTATCATGATGTATTGAGATGATAGTTAAAATAATTGATGAGGATTATTTTATTATTTTCATTGTTGATGAGGGGAACTAACTATTTGTATTGGGAGATTGTTAAAGTTACGAGTTAATTGTTAAGGTTACGGGTCAATTGTTAAAGTTATGGATCCTTTCTCTCTCTCTCTCTCTCTATCATGATGTTACTGTGATTATGTTAAAATAATTGAAGGGGATTGTTATTTTATTATTTTTATTTTTTATTATTTTCATTATTGATGAGGAAACTAATTGTTTTTGTTTGTATTGGCAGATTGTTAAGGTTACGGGTTTAATTGTTAAGGCTACAAGTTTAATTGTTAAGGTTACAAATTTGTTGTTAAGGTTACGGGTCGGTTGTTAAGATTACATGTTGGTTGTTAAGGTTACGTGTCGGTTGTTAAGGTTACGGGTCGGTTGTTAAGGTTACGTGTTTAATTGTTAAGGTTACGGGTTTAATTGTTAAGGTTACAGGTTTGTTGTTAATGTTACATGTTTGTTGTTAAGGTTACGAGTCGGTTGTTAAGGTTACGGGTCGGTTGTTAATATTACGGGTTGATTGTGAAGGTTACAGGTTTAATTGTTAAGGTTACAAGTTTAATTGTTAAGGTTACGGGTTGGTTGTTAAGGTTACGAGTCGGTTGTGAAGGTTACGGGTTGGTTGTGAATGTTACGAGTTTGTTGTTAAGGTTACGGGTTTGTTGTGTAGGTTAACTTCACAACCAAAGCGTAACATTCACAATCAACGCATATCATTAACAACAAACCCATAACCTTAACAACCAACCCGTAACCTTTACAATCAACCATTATCCTTAACAACGAATATTCTAAAAATATTGTCGCTGTAGGGGTTTGAACCCCTAATCTCCTGTCCAAACTCCCAAACTTTACCACTAGGCCAAGTGACCCAAAGTATTCATTCCACTCAAAATATATATACATATATACCCCAACGTGTAACCTTCACAACCAACCTGTAACCTTAACAACCTACCCATAACCTTAACAACAAACCCGTAACCTTAACAATTAAATTCGTAACCTTAATAATTAAACCCGTAATCTTAATAATTAAACCCATAACCTTAACAACCAACTCGTAACCTTAACAACCGACCCGTAACCTTAACAACAAATCCGTAACTTTAACAATTAAACCCGTAACATTCACAACCAACCTGTAACCTTAACAATAAAATCCGTAACCTTAACAAACAAAAACAATTAGTTTCCTCATCAACAAAAAAAATAATAAAAAAACGAAAATAATAAAATAACAATCCCTTTCAATCATTTTAACATCATCATAGTAACATCATGAGAGAGAGAGAGAGAGAGAGAGAGAGAGAGAGAGAGAGAGAGAGAGAGAGGGGATCCATAACCTTAACAATTGACCCGTAACCTTAACAATTAACTAGTAACTTTAACAATCCCAATACAAACAGGTAGTTCCCCTCATTAACAACGAAAATAATAAAAAATAAAAATAATAAAATAATCCCCATCAATCATTTCAACTATCATTTCAGTACACCATGATAAAAAAAAGAGAGATAAATGTATTATGGTCTTCACATATTTTAATCTCTTGAGTTTTGTGTTTTGGGGGCTCAGAGAATAAAATTTTTATTTTTAGGAGTAAAACAACTGTTGATAAAGTCTTGGGGGAAACACGTTTTCTTGGGTTTTAGGGGCTGGAAGAATTTTTCCCGATTAATTTATGTTTAAAATGGTTTCTATGGGAAAAGAACCCCAATATTTTACGCGTATCAATTTTACTGGCAATAAGGTTCCAGAAACAGAGTGTAAAAATCACAGCTTATCTTCCGAATAAAGCTGACGGCTTGGTTTTTGCAAATGATCCGTACGGGGGATTTCAATCAAAAGGCAGAAGGCGAACAGCAGAGAGCCCTCTCCAATCAAATCATCACTTGAAACGCGTCCGTAAATTGCTACTTCGCCCTTTTGCAAATCTGACTCGTCCGGGTTATTAGCTGACTCGGTCTGACGCCACCACGTCCTCTCCTCTTTCTTGCAGAGCCGCGGTTCGTAAAAGGCGAGAGAAAATGTTTTACCATTTTACCCCTGACCGAAGAAAAGGTGACCGCTTTAGAAAAGCCGAGTTATTATCAATGTTAAAATAAGTCGTCTTGAGTAAAGTACTCCACGAACAATCTTCCCTGATAACTGACATGAAATCCGTGCACAGCCCGTGTGCAGTGAGCAGTGGCCTCCGCTGGTGAACGCACGATCATCTGCCACGTGTCGTGAACACCGTCGCCGAGTCGCGTCAGAGTGGGACGTAAATGCAAACGTCTGCCCCGAGTCCCCGACCGTTCATTCTGTTCCAAGCG